TATGATCATGGTGTCTATGAATTCCTTGGGTCATGCCGAATCCGAGGATGTCAATTGTGCTGTTGTGTAAAATGCTAAGTCACACTTTTGTGAGATCATTCTCCCACCTTAACCCTTCTTCTGCAGCATGTTGAGTGTGCATCAACTGAGTGGCACACTCTGCTAAGTCTCTGACATTGAACACCTAAGGTTGTCGGTTTGAATCCAGGGTGGCTAATGTTGCTTCTGTTCCAGACATTCCATTTTCCGTGTGTTCGTATTGAATCAGAAGCGTGTTTTTGGTCATTCTCATCTGAACTTCTGTACGTTTTTGAACTTCTGTACTTCTTAATCTATCTGTTATTTTGTATGTACGTTCCATTTCTGCCGTTTTTCTTCTTCCCGCTCTGCGCTGCGCTACAGCCCTTCTCTTGGGATTGGCCCCGGAATCGATGCTTGCAGCTATATTTATTATTATTATTATTTTTGTCCAATGGGGTTCTATGGCAGCCCTATGAAGGGAAAATAGGAAAATGATGAAATTTGGCACACTTGTAGTGATGGCCATAAGTAGTGATCTGACCACGTTTGGGGTCTCTAGGACCAACTCTATAGCGCCACCACCAGTTCAAAAATTCAACATTGAAATGGCAATAACTCCTGAACCCCTAATTCTAGAAAAATCAAACTTAGTACACCTGATTCCACTCTTCGTGAAGATCACATTCCATAGCTTACATTAAGACTCCACCGATTACAGTAGCGGCCATTTTGAAAAGTACAGTAAATAGTCTATTCCCTACTACTTCCCCACTACTCCTTCAAAATTGATCCAATTCTTCCCAAAATTGGCTCAGATGATCTTTGGACTGAGCTGCAGAGACACGACTGAACCAATTTTTTTATTCATCTTTCTTCAAAAGTTATGATGTTGTGAACTTAACAAGGTTCACATGTGATTGGTTTAGAGGCTGTATCTTGGCCAAACTTTGATCAATCAAATCCAATCTTGATACGCTTCATCAACACCATGATCTGAGGGCCCACGCCAAAGTTGGGAACAGCGCCACCTATGGGTGTTGAGATACCAAAACTGCACATTTGTACTTATAACTTTTGGACAGTTATTCAGAGAATTATGATATTGGTGTCTTTGGATTCCTTGGGTCATGCCGAATCTGTCGATGTCAATTTTGCCAGGATTGGCTGAACCACGTGTCCGCCATTTTGAAATTTCTCATAAATTGAAATATCTTTTAAACCATTCAACATATCTTCACTAAATTTGCTAGGGATCATCAACAACATGCCCCGTAGGTACCTCAGAAGTCTGAAGACAGCGCCACCTACTCGGAGGTATCCCGGAAGTTTGAAGACAGCGCCACCTATTGTTCCAGAGATATAACGATTCTTGCTAAATGTTGTCCAAATTTTCTTATTTTTATGTCATTTGGTTCCCTGGGTTATGCCGATTCTGACGATGTCTCATTTGTTATTTTCCAAAACGGTGTCTGTCAGCCATATTGAAGTAAATGAGAAACAGTTTTTTTTCTACTCTTCTCACAAATTTAGTTCAATTCTTCCCAAAATTTGCTCATATGATCTTTGGACTGAGCTGCACAGAAATGACTGAACGGAATTTTTTTACTAGAAGTGAAAAAAAAGTTATGATGTTGTGAATTTGACAAGGTCGACCTAAATTGGTTCAGAGGCTGTATCTCGGCCAAACTTTGATCAATCGAAACCAAACTTGGTATGCTTCATCAACAACAAGATCTGAGGGTCCATGCCAAATTTGGGAACAGCGCCACCTATGGGTCATGAGATACTAAAAATGCACCTTTTGGCTTATGACTTTTGAACAGTTAGTCAGAAAATCATGATCATGGTTTCTATGGATTCTTTGGGTCATGCCGAATCTGAGGATCTCAATTGTGCTTTTGTGTAAAATGCTAAGTCATGATTTTGTGAGATTATTCTCCCACCTTAACCCTTTTTCTGCAGCCTGTTACGTGTGCGTCAACTGTATGGCGCACTCCGCTAAGCCTCTGGCCCTCAACCCCTAAGGTTGTAGGTTCGAATCCAGGGTGGCTAATGTTTCTTCTGTTCCAGACATTCAATTTTCTGTGTGTTCGTATTGAATCACAACCGTGATTTTGGTCATTCTATTCTGAACTTCTGTTCAATTTTGAACTTCTATACTTCTGATCCTATCTGTTCTTCTTTATGTATGTTCCATTTCTGCCGTTTTTTCTCTTCCCGCTCTGCGCTGCGCTACAGCCCTTCTCGGGCTTGGCCCCGGAATTGCTGCTTGCAGCTATATTTATTATTATTATTATTTTTGTCCAATGGTGTTCTATGGCAGCCCTACGAAGGGAACATAGAAAAATGATGAAATTTGGCACACTTGTAGTGATGGCCATAAATAGTGATCTGACCAACTTTGGGGTCACTAGGACCAACTCTATAGCGGCACCACCAGTTCAAAAATTCAACATTAAAATGGCAATAACTCCTGAACCTCTAATTCTAGAAAAATGAAACTTAGTACACCTGATTCCACTCTTCATGGAGATCACATTACATAGCTTACATTAAGACTCCACCCATTACAGTAGCGGCCATTTTGAAAAGTACAGTAAATAGTCTATTCCCTACTACTCCTTCAAAATTGATCCAATTCTTCCCAAAATTGGCTCAGATGATCTTTGTCTACACAGACATGACTGAACCATTTTTTTTATTCATCTTTGTTCAAAAGTTATGATGTTGTGAACTTAACAAGGTTCACCTGTGATTGGTTCAGAGGCTGTATCTTGGCCAAACTTTGATCAATCAAAACCAATCTTGGTACGCTTCATCAACACCATGATCTGAGGGCCCACGCCAAAGTTGGGAACAGCGCCACCTATGGGTGTTGAGAAACCAAAAATGCACATTTGTACTTATAACTTTTGGACAGTTAGTCAGAGAATTATGATATTGCTGTCTTTGGATTCCCTGGGTCATGCCGGATCTGTGGATGTCAATTTTGCCAGAATTGACTGAACTACCTGTCCGCCATTTTGAAATTTGTCATAAATTGAAATATATTTTGAACCATTGGACGTATTTGCACAAAAATCGGTAGGGATCATCAACACCATGTCCTGGAGGTACCTCAGAAGTCTGAAGACAGCGCCACCTACTGTTCCAGAGGTATTCCGATTCTTGCTAAATGTTGTCCAAATTTTCTTATTTTGATGTCATTTGGTTCCCTTCGTTATGCCAAACCTGACGATGTCTCATTTGTAATTTTCCAACAGGGTGTCTGTCAGCCATATTGAAGTAAATGAAAAACAGTTTTTTTGCTACCCTTTTCACAAATTTAGTTCAATTCTTCCCAAAATTTGCTCATATGATCTTTGGACTGAGCTGCACAGAAATGACTGAACATAATTTTTTAACTACTAGTGAAAAAAAATGTATGATGTTGTGAAATTAACAAGGTCGACCCAAATTGGTTCAGACGCTGTATCTCGGCCAAACTTTGATAAATCAAAACGAAACTTGGTAAACTTTGTCACCACCATGATCTGAGGGCCCTTGCCAAAGTTGGGAAGAGCGCCACCTATGGGTCATGAGATACCAAAAATTCACATTTTCACTTATAACTTCTGAACAATTAGTCAGAAAATTATGATAATGGTGTCTTTGGATTCCTCGTGTCATGCCAAATCTGAGGATGTCAATTGTGCTTTTGTATAAAATGCTAAGTCACGCTTTAGTGAGATCATTCTCACACCTTAACCTCCCTTCTGCAGCTTGCTGAACATGTGTCAACTAAGTGGCGCCCTCTGCTAAGCCACTGGCCCCGGACCTTTAAGGTCATGGGTCCGAATCCAGGGTGGCTAACGATGCTCCTGTTCCAGATGTTGGATTTTCCGTGTGTGTTCGTATTGAATCAGAAATCTGTTTTTGGTCATTCTCATCTGAACTTGTTCCATTTTGAACTTCTGTACTTCTGAAGCTATCTGTTTTTTTTTTTATGTATGTTCCATTTCTGTCGTTTTATCATAGGAAACCTTAACTTCTCCTCTGCAGCCTGTTGAACGTGTGCTAACTGAGGGGTGCACTCTGCTAAACCACTGATCCCGAACCTTTCAAGTTGTGGGTTCAAATCCAGGGTGGCTGATGTTGCTTTATATGTACATCCTGTTTCTGCTGTTTTGTCCTTCTTGCTCTGCAGCACACTTCATGAACATTCTTGGTTAGCATGCAAGTTAGTGCTTGCTCCTCTGTTTTGCTTTTTATATTTAAATAGATCTTCAACAGAGTGACTGCATGCCCTATGTGACAGTGTGATTAGAATTGTACTCTCACAGATGAGGTCACTAGTTTGATTCTTGTGTGGGGTGACATTATATTAGAACATGTGTATAGTGTCTTCATCTGGTCAGCAATACAGGAACATCTGTGCAGCAATACAGCAAATTTTGTTTGAATGATTTTTGTCGTTAAATTTACAGTTTTAATCAAAGACACCAATGTGCATTGAGTGGGTCAACTACTGCCATTGTACACTTTAGCAAAGCATTTAATTTTTGCTTGTTCCAAGTAGAGTATCACTGAAATAAAAAAATATTTCAAAACCGCTTTTAGTTGAACTTTCAATTTCACAAGAAACTCAAGTGGGATAACCATTGAAGTTATACAGAATGTTTTAATTCTGTGTACACTAAATGTAATATTTGAACAATTTTTCCACCAAATTCCATGTTTAAGGGTACAAACAAACTGAATGCAAAAGATAAAGATGTACATTTTGTATGTTAAATGAATTACTTTTAAATGATTTTACTCTGCCACAGACCTCATCTGTGAGCACAATTCTGATCACACTTTTTTTTTTCTTTTTTTTTTTAAGAAACCAAATTATTGTGTGGGGAACAAAACTAACATACTACACAATTTCTAATGTAGATCAATTCAACAAAGACATTGATAGAGTAAATGGAAGTGCATGACACCAAGGACAATTTGAATCCATCATGTATTTATTTTATTTATTTATTTTTACAAAGACTTTACTCAGTTTACATTGAAAATATTGTGCCTTTATACCCAAGTGAGCAAGCCAGAAGGCGACAGTGGCAAGGAAAAACTCCCTAAATTAGGAAAGAGGAGCATCATGGACAAAGTGGTGGAGCATCATCAGCAGAGTGGTATAGGGAGAAACCTTGGGAGGAACCAGACTCAGCAGGGGAAGGCCATCCTCCTTTGGCTGGCACCAAATAAATTTACTGTACATATGCTAAATATAATACAAGCCATCCATGCAATATTTTATATATAATTGTGTTACTTTTGTGATTATGTATTCATTTGTGAAATAACTGACTATTGACTGCCTGCATCAGTTTAGAGTTTTGCCGGGACATTTTCTGAATTGATAGTTGACAATGGTTTTTGTCTTCACTGTAAGAAAGAGAAGCAGAAAATCAGTAAATTAAAGAAATCAAATTAGTATCAACTTCTGATTAATAAGCATAAAGGATATTATATTCTACATTTTTATCGGTTGTGTGCTTCTTTATAAAAACAGTTAATGGAACGGAGAATCATATAATGATAAGGAGGAATTTAGAAGTGTAGCTCATTGCAGAAATCTGAAAATACATTCATGGAACATTAACTGCTTGATAAAGCATTTACACAACAACAACATTTTGCAACTAATGTAGGTCTCTACACTCACCTTTTGAGAGTAGTGGACAGTAGTTGAGTTTTGCTGCACAAAACAGAAAGAATATTGTTATTGCTTTAATGAGTGCTCAAAGAAAAGAGTCAATTCATGTTTTGCAGACATTATACAATTAAATGTACCTTTTTATCAGTTATGTGCTTCTTTATAAAAACAGTTAATGGAACGGAGAATCATATAATGATAAGGAGGATGTTAGAAGTGTAGCTCATTGCAGAAACCTGAAAAAACATTCATGGAACATTAACTGCTTGATTAAGTGTTCATACAACAAAAACATTTTGCAACTAATGTAGACACAATCTCTACACTCACCTTTTGAGAGTAGTGGACAGTAGTTGTTGAGTTTATGCATAAACCTGAAAATGTATTGTTAGTAGGTGAAACAGTGCTTGAAGAAATGAGTCAGTTCATGTTTTGCAGACATTATGCAATTAAATGTACCTTTTTATCAGTTGTGTGCTTCTTTATAAAAACAGTTTGTGGAGCAGAAAATCATATAATGGATAAGGAGGAAGTTAGAAGTGTAGCTCATTGCAGAAATCTGAAAATACATTAATGGAACAAACTGCTTGATTAAGTGTTCACACAACAAAAACATTTTGCAACTAATGTAGACACCATCTCTACACTCACCTTTTGAGAGTAGTTGTTGAGTTTTGATGCATAAACCTGAAAATGTATTGTTAGTAGGTGAAACAGTGCTTGAAGAAATGAGTCAGTTCCAGTTTTGCAGACATTACACTACTACATTTACATTTTTATCAGTTGTTCTGTTCATTATAGGAGTTACTGGAGTATAGAATGAGGTGTTGGATGGAGTATATAATCTCTTGCATGATGGAAATTATGTCTTCAGTGCATTTTTTATGTCTGAAAAGATTACTTTCATCAACTATACGCAAGTAAGCACATGCATTTAACAATGCCTTTAAAATGGTTTATTATAATTTAAACAGAAAAATGTTTGTGTAACCAGGCACTCCTGAGTCAACTTACCTTTGTTAGTTTTAGTAAATCTTGACCATTTTTGTGGTCTTCTATTAACTTAATTGTGATATATTAGGAGACAACTGGATGAATGCAGGCAGTCTTTGTGGATGCTTCCTATGATGTTTGGAAGCATCCATTATTGTTTGGATGGCTTATAATATGACTGAAATTAGATTAATAATAAAATACATTAGTAATGTAATATACTTGAAGTCAGTTAAAAATTAGAAGAAAAAAAATATATATTAAACGTAAGGAGAATTAAACTGAATTAAAAATAATCTAAACAAAGCTGGATATAAATTAAATACTACAATTACCTTGGCTGGATGAAGCTTATTAGCTCAAGAAAGAAGAGCAATTATTGGAGATGTAGGATTGTGAACGATGATCACTGGTTTGAATTTGAGGCTGGATTGACTGGACTCTGTCGATCTTGGAATCTCAGGATAGTGTTCACATGGTATGGACACAAAAACAGAACAGACAATACAATGCTACAATTCTCATTTCAGTGTGTTCCATACATAAAATGGATTACCTTCCAATAGACCTTCATTGATAACATTGAACATCTGTACAGATTCAACTGATGAATCATTATAAGACTTATTCATTTAGATATAGATAGTCTAAGAACATACCTTCTCCAGTTGTACACTTGTTCTCCAGTTGTATGCCAGTTGAAAGCTCAGAATTAATATTGCATAGTAAGGGCACAGAAAAGAAAATGCGGTTATACTGATTTCAGTACATGTCACACGTATGAATTATTAGCTCAGTGAAATAAGTATTGCTTGGTGGTAACTGTAATACGTTTGCACAATTTCAACCGAAACATTTTCTGCATCTTTAACATAGACATGGTCGATCAGTGTACCTTTCTCAGTTGTAGGATGTTGCACATGTTGACTGTATCCATGTAGTTCCATTAATGTTCCAATTGTAGATGATGTCAAGATGTCCTCATTGAAGTCTCCCATAATCACTTTCTTTCCTGAATGTTTCTCCAGCTCATCAATAACATGCAACATATTTTGTCGAAACATGTCAAGTGGATACGAGTTAGGCCTGTACAGCAAAGCAGCATTCAAACTTATATGTGGAACTGCAAAGTATAGACATTACAAATTGCAAGGTTCTGGAATGATGACGTTAAAATGAATGCTTTCACAACAGAATAGCCCAACTCCACCTCCTCTTTGTTGTTTTAAATCAGTGAAAAGTGGAGTGCTGTTGTCATAACAATTAGCTCTCAGATTGATCTTAAAAACAAATCCTTGTATCTGTACTTTGTCTTCAACTTTTAGCCACGTTTCAGTTAAACAGATACAATGCATTCATTAGCTGTCCGTGAACTTGAACATCTTGAACATGAGCTTGAAGACTTTGTACATTATGAAGACCAATTGTAAACATACCAGGTGTCTTTATGAAACTGTGATTTTCTAAAGTAAGTCTGAGCATGTTTTTCATAGCAGAGTCAATTTTCTCATTACAATATATGACAGACTCTTTGAAGTTATTAATTATAAGTCCATCGAGGGTTCTCACATGACTCACTGCAACATATGCTTGTCCCGGAGAAAATACCTTGTCAAGTCAGACAACCGCTTTATCTACTGTGAGTCCTTGCACTTTGTGAACGGTACATGCCCATGCCAATTTAAGAGGAAACTGACGTCTTAAACCGCCATCGTTTGTGACTTGATCTTCTTCCACTTCAATAACAGTGGAATTTGGGGAATATTTCTGTCGTTGCTTTGATCTCTGAATTCTACCAACATTTGGATTATCAAAATCAACATGAATAGCTGATGGGAAGTCATCATCATCATCATATTTTTGTTTTTTGCTTATGTGGACAACTGTGCCAGAGGCTCCATTGACAAGTCCATCAGAAACATCAAGATTTTTCCTTAGCATTACTCTGGCTCCAACACCCAAGGAAACACATTTGTCCAAACACGAGTTGAAAACTTTTGCATGAAAACCAACTTTTGCTTCTATTCTTCCAGTTTCTGGATTTCTCACAAAGTCTCTAGCTCGAATAGTGATTGCCTCAGGACAACACGCATTAAGTTTCTGAATATTGTATTCATCGACCTGAGCATTTGTAGGAAATATATGAATAGCATCACATTCTTCACCCGTTTCACGTTTCTTCAACATGTTAATGTCGCTTGGGCTTAGAGTGTCCTTCTTTTTATGAACTCGAAGACGATTTAACATTTCAGCAAAAGATGCATCTTGTTGCCTGACAACTTGTGTTAGTTCGGCAATTTCAAAGTTGTTATCCCAAAGATTCACTCCTTTTGGATCAACATACAGGGGAATTCCCTTGACAGGCGGAAGCTGGTAAAAATCACCAACGCAGACCAAACTGACTTTTCCAAAAATGGAGTAGTCACCAGTTTGCTTTATTTGTCTCAATCTCCCATGAACATAAGACAAAAGGTGATGGTCAACCATAGACACCTCATCAATGATCAGAATGTGCAAACCTCCCATTTTTGCACGCAGTGAATTGATTTTGTCATTACTTAGGGGCTGATATGGCAGTTTGACATTGGCACCTATCGAAAAAGTATTATGAATTGTGGAAGCACCAATGTGGTAACTAGCCACTCCAGTTGACGCGGTTAAAATCACACTTCTATCATCAGGGTTTTCAGACAGCTGAGATAAAAGTCTGGAAGGTTCGTAGTATATCGCTTTGATTAAATGGCTTTTCCCTGTGCCTGCTCCACCAGTAACGAACAAGTGAAATGGTTCAGGGTTTTCTCCAATAAGTTTCTCTAACACCATTTCTGCACTTTGTAAAAGACTGCAGATTGTTGTGCATTTAATGATCTTAGTAAACAGAACGCCTCTTCTCTAGACATTCCAGCATGGTTGGTTTCAATGCTGTATGGAATTCGAGGGTTCACTACAAGATCTGGAATAGAGGACTCAGAATCATCTTCATCAGGAATGACATTACTCTTCCTTAGTTCTATGCATTCATGACGTTCCTTTTCTGTTTCAGGACACAATGCAGCCCAAGCATCTTCCAAATCAATACCCTGCTCCAAAAGCTGTTGAGCCCGACCCATTTTGTTACTTTCCTTTTCAAACAGTGCTCGATTAGCATCAACAATACATTTTACTTCGGTCACATTACTTCCACATTTCATAGCACAATTGTTGTAGAATTCCTCATAAGTGGTAAAATTCTCAGGCTTGAGCTGCCAGTCTTCGTAATGTGGTAAAAAAGTTGCAACAATGAATGAAAGTACTTTTCAGGATCTTTTTTTGGAGAAAATCTCGGATATCTGACAACAGCAGGTTCAGTTCGAGTTCTCTTCATCATATAACCGCAGTTGTTGTTAAGCCTAATCACCTTGTCTTCTGAGGCCTTTTTGTTTGAAGAAACCTCTGATTTTGACACTATCCTGTTTTCAGAGCAAAAACTTGCAAGACATTGAATCTCAAACTCCTTCGTCTTTGGCCTATTCTTGTATCGGTCAACCAGACTGGTCATCCAAAAGCTAGTTTCTTCACCAGACTGATCGTCTTTGTTTTTGATAACACGAAGAGGCAAACTCATCTTTACAGGATTCAATCCAATTGGAATAAACTGGACTTTACGAGAACATTCCTTCAAGTGCATACCTGTCAATCGATACACAGCCTCTTGAGCAGAAATTTCTCTGTTGTGAAGATATACACTGCCAAGCATTTTTAATGATGATCTTGCTTCAAGATTTCCATTCATAGCTTCATTTTGTGCACGTTGCACCAACAGTCCCATTTCTTGTTCTGCTTTTGTGATGTAACTAATAATGTAAACCACTACAGAGTAAGCATCTTTGACATACTGGATATCCATGTTGCCTTGCCAGGCACGCAGTAAATGTTTATTATACTGGTTCACCCAGACGTCTTTTGGACTTCTTTTTAGGACAACAGTTTTCTTTTTGGAACACTGTTTGTATGCTTTTTCGAAGAGAGCCTGGTTAATGCCAGTTGACTCAAAAAATGCATCTCTTGAATCATAATTCATATCAGAAGCTGTTAATGCTCTTTTGACTTTTTCTAAAATTGTACTTGCAGCATCTTTTCCCTCACTACTTTTCAAATCGCCTCGACTACCACCTCTTGTAATAAAGGTACGGCTAGATGGGGGTCGTGGAAAATTAAATCTGCAAACTGTCTTTTTCTTACGACATGTCTTTGAATGTCTGACACTGTGCTTCTGAACACCGTTGACAGTCTCAAACAGTTCGGTTTCATCCTCTCTTGGGGTCTCACAAGTGATGTAATGATCAATGAAACTGGTGACCAAAGCATCATTGTCTTCATTGTCTTCATTTAACTTTGGCGCATTTTCAACCCAAAACAGACAATGAACATGAGGAGATCCATGCTGTTGAAACTCTACACGATAAAAGTAATCTATTATCTTCCCGATCGGTTGAGCTGAAGACATGATTACATCTCTCAGAAAACAATGCCATCTATAATCAAACATTCTTGCTGCAGTGACTGGGTTTCGTCTAATCAGTCCACATTTTTCAGACCAGTCAAGTTCATCTGCTTTTAGATTTTTCCCTTCTTGTTTGATTATGGTGCTAAGAATTTCAGGCCATCTAAGATCCGCAGAACTAAAGGATGCAAAGAAAGTCGGAATTCCTAGCTGTCTTATGAGCACAAAAAGGTCGTTTTGAGTAGATTGCCAATATGGTGGCGTTCCACGGATTGGTCTCAAAAACTTGTATCCTTCATCGAAATTCAATATTTTAGACAACGAGTCTGGGTTTGTTAGCATATCTGATGTTAATTCTGTCAACAAACTCTTGTCAGATCCTTTGCGTAAAGCAATTTAAACATTAGATACAACTTGATCAACCTCCGACAAATACTGTGCATAGAAAATTAAGTCTGTGCTCCGCGCAAAACGTCCATCTGCATTGAGGATTCTTGCATTTAAGTATCTTGACAATGTAATTTTTACCTCCCTCTTATCATGAAATGTTGGACCACCACTTGGATAGAGAACAGGGAAACATTTTGCTTCGTTGGACCTATCAGATAACAAACTAACAGGACCGTTTCCTTCAGCTGGTGCCAGATTTAATACATCCTGAAAATGCTGATCAATTACTTCAGAACCAATGTCCACTGGTTGCAATGACGTATCTGACAAAAGACCACTTTGCTCTTTGATGTAGGTTAGGTCTTCCTCTGGCTGTTCGTCAGAGTAAATTTCATCGTCTATCTTTTCAAGTACATCTTGTTGCTCCATTTCATCTACAACATTTTCTTCAGGTTCATTCAAAGAGTTGATCCACTGCTCATTAATCTCCACATCATCAAACCACTTATTGAACCTGATCAAATATTTCAGAGCATTTCTAACACGATCAGTGTGTACATACTTGTACTCATAATGCCCTTTGTAGGTTAACTTGCGTTTCAGTTTCATCCTTATCATCTTGTCATCACATTCATTTCGTGGAAGGATATTGGACGCGTCTGTTGTATTTATCGGAACACACACTACAGGCCCATGGCATCCATGTTGTTTACCATGGGGAAGGCAGAGTAATTTCATAAAAGGAATGTTACGTGCAACGAGATGTTGTTCCAAAGAGTTGAGACATTTCAGTTGATTTGGAATGTCCAACAAATGCATGTTGTTAGCAACGCTCTCTTCAGGCAGTTTTCCACAAAGGATTTTTCGATGACACGTTAGACAAATCCATAATTTGCACCCTGGGCAATAAGCAGAAGATTGTTCACACTGTTCATCACAAACATGTACATACCTGGTTGTGATACATCGTCTACCCAAAGCAGCAATTTTTTCTCCTTTATCTTCATAGCATCCGGTTCTGCATTCAACAACCTGCTTTCTGAAAAGTAAGTGGTGACAGACAGAGCACACAAACTCTGGACCACTACTAACTTCTTGTCTAAAATAATCAATAGCAACATCAATGTCTTTTTCTTCCTTCTTTCTTGCATATGTTTCACAACCTTTTTGTATTGTACTCGCACGAAAGTTCACATCTTTATGGTATTTCATCACAGAATACTCGCGCACTCTTGCTTTAAAGGCCAGGTTTTGCAGATATTTTTTCCTAGAATACTCACCCACTCTTGCTTTAAAGGCCAAGTTTTGCAGATATTTTTTCTTCGA